CCCACACACACACACCCACCACCCCACCACACACACCCACCACCACACCACCCCCACCACACACACACAGCATGGCGTACTACGCACCACCTCAACCGTACACAGGCTCTGACCATTCAGACGAAGTGTCGTCAACTCACTCGTGGCAAACACTGTCGTCGCTCGAGTCTGAACAGAGGTCGTTGGCATCAGGAGCATGGTCGGTGACTTCGTCTGGTGGTACATTTGCTGCTGCTGGTCGTGGTACTCGTAGAAGTCGTGGAACGGGTGGTGACGGTCATTCAGGTGATGGAGAACAATCAAATATTCGTGTCGTTGCTCGCATTCGTCCGCTCTCTCGCGTTGAGGCCAATCATGGCTATTCGACCGTAGTCTCTCCTCTCGACGACTCGAGAACTGTGGCTGTCGGTCGCTCAGATTCAGTCAAGGCAAAGTCGTACAAGTTGGACTACGTCTTTGGTCCCTCGGCCTCGCAGGGCGATGTGTTTGATACCTCGGGCGCAAAGACCCTGATCGACGAAGCCGTCGCTGGCTTTGCCTGCACGCTGTTTGCTTTTGGCCAGACCGGCTCGGGCAAGACACACACCATCACCGGGCCCGACGCCAAGATGGACGGCATCCTCCCGCGAGCCATCCACTACCTCTTCGACCGTATTGCCCAGGAGACCTCCGAGTACGTCCGCTTTGCCATCCAGGCCTCGTACATCGAGATCTACAACGAGAACGTCCGCGACCTGCTCAACGTCTCCTCAGGCGTCCTGCCTGTCCGCTGGCGCGAGGACCGCGGCTTTTACGTCGAGAACCTCTACGTCGTCCTCACAGAGTCGGTCGACGACATGATTGCCGTCGCCGTCGAGGGCATGACCAACCGCGCCCAGCGCGCCCACGACATCAACGAGCACTCGTCGCGCTCGCACTCGATCGTCACCATGTACGTCACCTCAGAGACATACGACCCGGCCACAGGCTCCACCTCGCTCCGTCATGGCAAGCTTTCCTTTGTCGACCTCGCCGGCTCGGAGCGGGTCAAGGACTCGCGCGCCACCGGCGAGGGCCTCACCGAGGCCCGCAACATCAACCGCTCGCTTCTTGCCCTCGGCAAGTGCATCGCCGCTCTCTCCGACGCAGAGGCCCGCGGCGTCTCCGTCTCCTCTTCCTCCTCCCACATCCCCTTTCGGGACTCCAAGCTCACAAAGCTCCTCAAGGACTCGCTCGGCGGTAACGGCATCACCCTCATGATTGCCTGCCTCTCGCCGCACGACCACGACGAGTCTATCAAGACCCTCCGCTACGCCGCCCGCACCAAGCACATCCGCAACAAGCCCATCATCATGCTCGATCCGCGCGATAAGCTTGTCGCTGACCTTCGCCGCGAAATCGACATGCTCCGCAAGGAGAATGCTTACCTCCGCGAGGAGCAGGCCGCCGCGCCGGCCTCGGCCCGCTCGCCTGCCGTCGAGCTCCCGTCGCTCGCATCCGCCCGCTCCTCCCGCCCTTCGCCCGCCCGCCGCGCCCGCCCCTCAGCCCGCGGTCGCGCATCCGCCCGCTCCTCCCGCCCCCCGCCGCGCGCCCGCCCACCCTCAGCAAATCTCGAGCCACGCGAGGCTGTCTCGCGCCTCGCAGAAGCCGAGTCGGTCATCGCCGAGTACATGAAGGAGAACGACGCCATCAAGCTCGAGAACCACCGCCTCTCCGAGTGGCAGCAGCAAATGTCGCGCGACCACGCCAACGCCATCCGCGAAAATGACAACCTTCGCAAGCGTCTCGAGACCCTCGAGGCCATGTTTCTGGACGCCGGTGGTGCTCCCGAGCCCCGACGTGGGCCCAACGCCGACACCTCGCCTCCCTCGGCGACTGGCTACGCCTCGCGCACCCCATCGCTCCGTTCTTCTCGCAGCGGCGCTCCCGCCTCGGGCCCTCCCTCGCACCGCTCCCGCGGTCGCATGCCACGCTACTCGACGCCCAAGTCAGCCACTGGCCCGCCGCAACCATCTGCCGCCGCCTCGGCCTCGCCGCCGCTCCGTTACCATCCCGACGCTGCCGACGACGACGACGCCGACCACCGCTTCGACTCGGGCGACGACGACGCCGACTTCCTCGAAGCCACCTTTATCCCCCTCGCCGACGGCCGCGATGTCTCCATCGCATCGGATGCCTCTTCGCGCCGCCCGCAAGCCCACGCACGCACCTCGATCAACACCCGCGGTCGCGGGCGCGGTCGCGGTCGCGGTCGCAGTCGCGGTCGCGGTCGTCGCTAGCGCGCAGCACAAACCCGCCGTCACCCCGCTGCCAACCCACCCATCAACCACCCCCCACTCGCACTCCACATCCTCCACATCATCCTCTGCCCACCCTCCTTCAACAGAACATCATCGCCAGCGAAAACACAGCGAGAACACAGCGAAACCACCTCGCCGAGCAAAAACGCTTCCACCCAAATACACCCCTCCCACACACACTTCATTCCCTCTCCAAACCCCCAACCTCCCCTACTCCCCCCCCCCCCCTCCCCGCAAACCCCCTAAAGCCATTACCTTCCAAGACATGTCGCAAGGCAAAACGCGCGCCAAAAGTGTGCATGCACCAGGCGGAAAGGCTCGAGGCAGGCATGGCAAGGAAAAGATGAAAAGTGTGTCGGGCAAGAGTTCAGGCAAGAAAAAAGAATGTGCAAGAATTCGTCCGCTTGTTTTGGGAAGGATTCGCCCGGCAAATAAGGACGAGTTGGAGGCAGAGCTCCCGGTGACGGTCACGGTTGCGTCGGACAAGTCCATTGCCATCGAGAAGAACGATCAGGCTCATGCTCATGGCCACGTCGGCGCTGGCTCGGATCAGAGCTACCCTGCTCGCAACCTCGACTCGCCGCTCATTCTCAACGTCGACAAGGCCTTTGGGCCAGCAACCTCTCAGGACGAGTTCTACGCCGCGCTCGCGCCGTTTGCAGACGACTTGCTCGATCGGTACAACTGCACCATCTTTGCCTACGGAGAGACTGGCTCCGGCAAGACGTACACCATGGAGCACGTGATGCGGGCCATGACTCGCGACTTGCTCGGCAAGCTGAGCAACACAGAGATTTACTCGTCGTTCTCGCTCTCGGTCACCTTTTTCGAGATCTACAACAACACCATCTTTGATCTCCTCGCAGACAAGCCCGATCGCGACGAGCCACGGACCAAGCTCAAAATCATGAACTACGCCGTCGTCGGCCTCCAGCACATCCCGGTCGCCAACGTCGACGACGTCTCCGCAGCCCTCGCCCGCGGCCTCAACGCCCGCTCCGTCGCCGCTCTCGCAAAGAACGCCCGCTCCTCGCGCTCGCACGCCTTCTTCTCCTTTGAGATCAACGCCATCATCGCAGGCTCGGGCACGGGCATTACCTCGCGCCTCAACCTCATCGACCTCGCTGGCTCCGAGAGAACTGGGCAGGCCCAGAAAGAGGCCTTCCTCGCAGGCATGGATCCCACCGCACAGTCGCGCTACAAGATGGAGTCGGTTCTCAAGAAGCGCCTCAACGAGGCCAACCAGATCAACAACTCGCTCACCGCTCTTGGCAACGTCATTCGCGCTCTTGCCTCCTCGCGGAGACCCTCGTTCCGCGACAAGAAGCTCACCCATCTGCTTCAGCCCTCGCTCACCGGCCGCTGCCGCCTCGGCATTGTCTTTTGCCTCTCGCAGTGCGCCACCTCCTCGGCCCTCACCTCGGTCTCCTTTGCCGAAAACGTCATGCGCCTCCCGGTCGTCGCAGTCCGTCGCAACGCGCAGGTCCTCGCCGTCGCAGACCTCAAAGCTTACATCAACCAGCTCCTCGCAAACAACTCGGCAATGCTTGAGGAGCGCAACAAGGCCCAGAACGCCGTTGTCGCTGCTCGCCACGAGAACGACCGCCTCCGCTCCCAGCTCCAGGAGCAGCTCGAGATCAACCAGGCTGCCCTCGAGTCGCAGGCCCACCGCAAGGCTCTCCTCGCCTCAAAGATCAAGTCCATCAAGGCCGCCATGGCCAAGCTCTCTGCCCAGCTCGCCGCTGTCCGCGGCGGTGCCATTCCGGCCACGCCCGGCGCTCCGACCACGCCCGCCAAGGACGAGCAGTCGCTCGCTGCTGAGCTGGATGCCCTCACTCTCCAGCTTGCCACACACCAATCCACCCTCGCCAAGCTCACTACTGACGAGGCCAAAGCCCGCGCTGTTGTCGACGACCAGCTCGCGCAAATCTCTGCCCTTGCCTCGGCCGCTTCCTCAGACTCGGCATCTCGCGCCTCGCTTGTCGCCACCTCGGCAGACTCGCTTGCCGACCTCGTTGCAAACTTGCCGTGGACTCTCGCCAAGCTCACCGACACCATCGCCCTCTACCCCGAGCTCGCCAACCAGCTTGTCACTGCCCACAACGGCGTCACCGCCCTTTTTGCCATCGTTACCGCAGACGGCCAAGCCGGCCACGGCACTGCTGCCCTCCGCACCATCGCCGCCGTCCTCGCCACTCCATCCGCACGCTCCGCTCTCGAGGCCATGCCCAACCGTGACGAGCTCCTCGCTCCACTTGCCGGCTTCCTCGCCTCGTCGCCCGACCCGCAGTGTGATGCATACAAGGTCGCCGCCGCCCGCGCGGTCGAGGCTCTCGCTGGTCCGGACGCGCCTCTCCTCGCCGCCGCCCTCGTCGACCTTGCCCTTGAATCGCTCGTCGACATCCTCGCCTCGGCTGCCAACCAGCGGGTTCAGGCCGCTTGTGCCCATGCCGTTGCCGCCCTCGCCTCAGCTTCACGCCACGCCCAGGACGCACTTGCCTCCTCTAACCTCATATTTCCGCTCTTTGCCCGCCTCCTCGGCTCGGCAGACACCGCCGTCGTCACCGCCGTTCTCTCGGCCGCAGGCCGTGTCGTCTCGGCCCACGACGCTCTCCAGCGCCTGGCCCTCTCCTCGGGCTTCCTCGCCGAGCTCACTTCTCTCGTCCGCGTTTGCACCGGCGACGACGCACTCAACGTCTCGGGCGCGCTCACACGCCACTCGGTCAAGCGCACTGCCGTCCAGGCCCTGCTCTCAGCCACTCTCGGCTCGCCCGACGCCCTTGCATGGGTTCTGGATGAGGGCAACCTCCCGCGCTCGGTTCTCCTTGAGGGCCTCGCCTCGTTGCAGACTACGCCCGCAGTCTGTGCCGAGCCGGACGGCCCGCTGCCATACTGGGGCTCGGCGTTCACCGCGCTCCTGCCGGCCGTCCACGGAGCGCCGTACACGCCGGCCTTTGACGATAACCCGCGGTTTGTAATCCGAGTCTTTGGGGAGACCGAGGTCTCGCTGGCGGTCGTCCGCGCAGGCACCACACCCTCGGCTTCGTCAGTGTCATCAGCTGCCGCCTCGTTCCTCGGCCTCTTTGTCTACGCCCTCGACGAGATTGATGCATCCAGCCGCAATGTGGCAACCTGCGTCGCCTCATCCCGTTTCCTCCACCCGACACTGTCGTCGGTGAGCGTGACGCTCGATGCCTCGTCCGAGGCCGGCTCGGCCTACGTCGTCGTTCCCTACCAGACCGCTTCGTCGAATGTCCAGCCCAAACTTGCCGCTGTCACCCTCGCCGCCTTTGGCTCAGCACAGTTTGAGATCGAAGAGCTGGCAGCCGCCGCCGATGCCCGCCACGTCCTTGCCGGTACCCTTGTCTGTGGCAAGCCGCTTCTTCCGGCGCTGGTCGTCACCAACCTCTCTGCCGACGCCGAGCTCGCATGCACCGTCCAGGCCCTCGTCCCGTCGGCGGCGGCACGCCGGTCCACAACTGTCGTGGTCCAGGCCGCACTCCCGCCCGGACCCATGGTCATTCCGTCCGAGGACGCTAAGCTCCTTGTCGGTGCAGACTGGCCGTGTGCCGCCGCCATGAGCGCGCCCAAGTACGCCGCCATCTCGGTCATTGTCCCGCCGCTCTCCTGGCTCCAGATTCGGGTCGGCCTCGAGTCGGCGCCGCCGTCGACCCGGTCCACAACGCCATCGTCAGTAGACCTTGTTGTTCACGCCGACATTGTCGCCGAGTCGCACGCGTACCTCGTCACCAGCCCGCGGGTACCCGAGACCTTCACAGCCGTCGTCCGCTCGGCCTGGATCCGCGGCCTGGCCCGCGGGCCGAATCGTCTCCGCAACCCAATCTTCAAAGTCTCCTGGGCCGGCGCCGTGCCAGGGTGGATTGGCCTTGTTGCCCGCCGTGAAGCCAGCCCGCACCTTGCCATGGGCCTCCAGGTCTTTGCACTCCCGCCAACCGAGCCGAGCGTCCTCCCGCCCGACAACGTCGTCTGGCGGCTCCCGCCCGAGTGGGTCGTCGCAGAGTCGCCCGAATTCCACCCGGCCGAAGTTGGTCTGCAAGTCGAGCTGGGACCCGAGACGGCCGTCACCTCGGGCAGCCTCTACATTGTCGCCACTGCCCACGCCAAGAAGCTGTACGGCGAGTTTGACCTTGAGCTCACGGCAGACGTCCCCGATGTCTCCATCGAGTGTGTTCGCGGAGAGGCCTTGCCACCGGTACTCTTTGCCGCTAACAAGCAAGCCATGCTCCATACCGTGGCCGAAGCATCATCGCCCACGTCGGTGCCAGCGAACTCGGCGCCTGAGCCTGTCGCGCCGCTCCCGCCGACGACTCCGGTCGAGACTCCGATGCCGTCGCATAAGCTCCGCACCAAGCTCTTCCGCGACGTCACCAACTCGGTTTCATCGGCTCGCTCTCCTGCGCACAAGGCAACCGGCAAGCAAGAGATCGACTTGCCGCCAGCAGACCTGTCATCGCCTCTGCTGGCCAAGGCTGTGCTCTACACGCCTCGCACTGCTGGCGTCGTCGCCGAAAACCAGGAGCTCAAGGTCCAACTGGCACGGACCCAGGCCCAGGCCCAGAGTTCCGCGCACAAGCTCGCCGAGCTAGAAGCCAAGCTTGCTTGCCTCGAGCAGGAAAAAGCCAAGGTCGCCGCCACCGCAGCAGCTGCAGCAGCAGCAGCTCCAGTGCCCTCACCCGCTGCATCGCCCGCTCCGGCCAACCCTGAGACCGCCATGGTGGTCTACTCGCAGCCAAGCCCGGCTGCGAGTGACCGCACGCGGGCATGTATCATCCTGTAAACCTGTTTGCAAGCCAACTACACCACATATCATGTTTTGTTCACTCACAAATCGTCATCGATGACGTCGACGACGTTGTCGTTGTCGTCGCCGCCGCCTCCACTGTCGCCAACCCGGTTGAGTTCGGAGAGCGAGGCGTTGTTTGCGACAAAGACTCGCTCGACAACGTTACGCTCGAGGTAGAGCCGGACGTCGATGCCGCGTTCGAGCATGATCTGAATGAGGCGGTAGGCCTGGGCCATGTCGTTGTCGTGGACAGCGAGTTGAATGAGGACCTCATAGATGTCGCCAGTACGGACGGCGTCGTCGACGGCTGGGTCGTTGGCGGCGGCGTCGAGGATGGCGCGGCAGCCGGAGAGCAGCTCGTTGGGATCGCTCGCACTCCGGGCGTGGACAAACCGCTCGATCCACATCAGGCGCAGCTGCATGTTGTCCAGTAGCTTCTTGAGAGCGGGAGTCGATGCGTCTGCGGTAGCCTTTTCGGCGATGCGGATGCCCTCAGCCAGCGCGTTAGTTGCCTGCTCGTAGTTGCGGTACTCGTCGACCTCTAGACGGGCGCACGCGTCGTAGAACCGCGCGAGCGAGGCGTACTGCTTGGCCTTTGTGTAAAAGGTGATGATGCCCTTGCGGATTTCGGCGTCCCCGTGCCAGTCAGCCTGCTGCAGAGCGTTGGCAGCGAGGATGTAAACCTCGCGCTTGCGGCAAACGTTGGCAAAGAACATGATCCGTGACGTGTCGCCCGACTTGATGAGGCATTTCATGGCCGAGATCTTGTCGCCAGCGTGTGCGTACTTTTTGCACGCCAGACGGTACGAGCCCTGGCGAGCGAGGACCGAGCCGAGCTCCGAGAGCATCTTGGCCCGCTTCTCGGGCTCGACCGAGGCGTCGGGCGAGAGTGCCTCGGCCATCTCGTCTGTGATGGCGATCTTCTCGTCGACCGCCAGCTGCAACGCGCGCTCGGTCTGGCCGGCGGCAATGAGCATCGAGACGGCCTTGTCGTACTGCGCGTGGTCGAGGAAGAACGAGGCGCACCGGTTGAGCAAGGCTGGATCGGTCGACGAGTCCAGCGATGAGGCGAGCTCGCGAAGGGCGTCAAACGACTCGGTGGAGAACGCGAGGTCCACAGCCTTGGCCGTTCGTCCGCCGCGGTGGTAGAGGAGGATGGCGCGGTCCCAGACGTTCTTGGTCTCAAAGTACGCCGCTGCCGCGAGCTTGGTAGTCTCACCGGCCTGCAGCGCCATCTGTAGCACCATGTTGTCCATGCCGGACTTCATGCCGAGCTGGATGGCGTGGTTGAACCGCTTCGAGAGGTTATAGTAGTTGAGTGCAGCCTCGACTGAGCCGGCAGCCTCGAGGTGCCGAGCGTAGAGGTAGCATGCCGCCGGGTCCTTGGTGGCGTCGCACACCTGACCGGCCTTGTCAAAGTCCTCCAGGTAGCAGAGGATCTTGATGACCGCCCGGTAGTTGCCGGCCTGCTCGTAGTACATGAGCGCTTGGTCAAAGGCCGAGTTGACCTCGGCAAACTGCGCCCACCACTGGATGAGATCTGGCTCGTTGGACGCTTTGACGTACTGTTCCAGGGCCGGCAAGTCACGCGCAAGCAGCCGCGGCACCTGCTCTGCCGCAAGCCCTGCCCGCTCGTACGCTTGCAGCGCCTGCTTGGTCTCGCCGATCGACTCGAGATACTTGCCAAACTTGAAAAACGTGTTGCGCAGGTGGATGCGGTCCGAGCTCCGTGCCAGGTCTACCGCCGCCCGCCACTGATTCGACGCCTGGTAGAGCTTGTTGAGCAGGTCCGGTCTCCCAGCCTCGAGGTACAGCGCCTCAGCAGCCTCAAGCTCGCCGAGCTGGACGGCGAGCATGGCAACCTGTGCGGCGTGCTCGGGCAAACGGCGCGCCTCGCGGAGGGCGCGAACGCCGCGGATGTGGCCCATGTGTGCAAGGCAGATCTCGGCCACGTCGAGCCGGCGGGTCTTGACGCACATCGACGCCATGTTCTGCCACACCGAGTCCGACTCGATGAGCTTGACGGCCTTGAACGCCTCGTCCATGTTGCCGATGGTGAGATGGTACGAAAAGTCAAGCAGCGCGCCAAAGGCTGTCGCAGACGGCGACTCCATGCCCACAAAGTCCTGCATCGGCCACAGGCCGAGCCGCTCCACCATCACCGAACCGTCGAGCGGCGGCTTGAGCGCAAAGACCAGGTACGGAACCTCGATGCCCACCAGCCGCTGGAACTCGGGCTGGAACTGGGTCCGCGACTGGACAAGGACGCCGGCAGTCGGCGTGGCAAAAAGCGTGACCACAAACGAGGGAAGCGCGTCAGGCCCGTCATCGTCGCCACTAGCGCCGGCAAGCGAGCCGCTCCGATCAAGGCTCGAACCTTTGCGCAGCGCTGATGGTGATGCGGTGCCTCCTGGTGATCCTGGCCCAGACTTGCGCTTCAGCTTGCGCGAGAGCGACTTGCCCGCGAGCCGTGACTTGGAGAGCGGCGTGCCCGAGCCGCTGTCGGTGGCTGGCCCGGCCTCGCCCGTCTTGGCGGAGATGGTGCCGGCGAGCGAGCCTCCGCGCTTGGCCACGGTCTCGACCGCCAGCAGCCGCGGTTCGGCTGTCGACCAGACCACGCCGCACGGCAGCTCGCCGGCGTTGAGCTCGACCTGTGCTACAGAGTCAGTCTCGACTTCAAAGACCGCAACAGCCGGCTGGGCTTCGGCCGACGAGGCTCCGAGAAAGGCAACGCGGGTGCCGTCGGCGTTGACAGCCATGGCCGAGAGAGCGGCAAAGAGCTCGCCGTCGGCCTCAAACTGACGGCCCATGTTATACTGGTGGGCCTTGCGCCGCGAGAGGTTCCACAGCTTGAGGACCAGCGTCGACGAGAGGACCGCCATGTAGTGGCCACAGAGGGAGAGCCACCGCGGAAGGCCCTCGCCTTCGGAGAACGAGAGAGTCTCCTTGACAATGCCCGAGGTGTTGGCAATGAGGACGCGCGAGTCGCGGAGGTAGACAATGGCGTTGCGGTGGAGTGCCATGGTCCGCGACGCAATGTTGAGCTCGCGGACCAGAGAGGCGCCCTTGGCGGTGACGTGGTAGTAGTGGGCACGGGCGCCGTCCCACACTAGCAGCTCTGAGAGGCCCGGCTCGTCATCCGAGTCGATCATGTCCATGCCGAGAATGCGGATGCCGGTTTGGACCTTGAGCGGCGGGTGCGGCACGGGGCGTCGTTGAGGGCAGCCTCGCCGGTAAAGTCGCCGGCAGCCGGACGAGCCTGGACCACCAGCCAGTTGGAACCGTACTGCAGCGCCATGCGAGTCGCTGTGTTCTTGGACGCCATCGGCGACTCGAGGAGGAGGGTGAGGCCGGAAGGCGTGGCCACCGAGAGCAGGCCACGGCTTCCGCCCGAGGCAAAGAGCGCCGCGTCCGGCGAGGTCTGATCCGGCGGCGGTGTGGTGGTGAGCGCCACGGCGCCGCCCCACGCCACGTCAACAACTTCGTCGTCGAGATAGAGCACCGACTCCAGCTCCCAGTCGTTGTCCGACTTTGACAGAGCCGGCTCGTCGCCGACAAACCGCCAAATGACAACTTTGCCGTCTTGGGTGCCGGCCGCCAGTGAGCGACGCGACGGGTTGTACGCCACGCACGCGATCTTGTCGCTCGTCACCGATGCCGCGCCGGTAGTGGCAACGGCGGCAAGTGAAAGGATGTAGTTTTCGTTCTCGGCCGTGTTCCACATGCGGACCATGGGCTCGTTGGCAACGGTGGCGAGCACGTTCGGCACCGTCCACGTCCCGAGCAGCCCGCCGGCGTTGCGGGCGGCAGTGGCAAACTTGGCCTTCATCTTGAGCTTGATGGTGCCGTCGGGCCCAAGCGCGTGCCGGGCAACAATGAGGTTGGCGGTGATGGTAACAAACTGCTGGCTCCACGGCTCAAACTCAAAGACCCGCAGCTCGGACGAGACGGTAAAGGCCTGGGTGGCCTGGCCGTACTGGTCGGCGAGAGTGATGACGCCTACGGCGGTTGCCACAAAGAACGCGTGCCCGGCAGCGGGGACCAGGACCTCGCCACCGCTTGGCGATGGAGTCGGTGTCTGGCGGAATACCACATGGGTAACAGCCTCGTGCAAGGCGTACTCTTGCTCAACAACCAGCTCATCAAGCGCTGGCTCGTGGTACCACACCGCCACATCGCCAGCCACGGTACCCGAGACCAAGCGAGCTCCATCATGCGACCAGACGAGGACCGAGAGTGGAGCATCAGGCGTTCGACCAGGATGCGGGTACGACTTTGGCGTAACAGCCGGTCCGGAAGGAGTCAACGATGCCATACCGATAACACCCGAATCCCAACCATAGACCAGAACAGGATCAAACGGATGCCATGCAAGGACCGAGACCACAGGCGTTGCTCCTGCTGTAGTAGCTGATGTGCTCGGCGTCGGTCCACCGTATGGCGGGTGGCTGTCACCGTCCGTCATCAAAGCCTGGGAAGATGCCAAAGATGCGTTTGGCGAGAGATTAGCAATGCGATTGCCTTCCTCGTCGTACACGTCGAGCTCGCCGTCGGTTGTCGCCACTGCAAGGAGGTGCAGACGGGCATGCCATGCTTGGGCCGCTGAACTTGCTCCGCGGTCTTGCCCGCAACCAAACTCAAAGTAGGTCGTCCTCATGGCGCGGGGGGGTGGGGGGGGGGGCGGGGGGGGGGGGGGGAGGAGGAGGAGGGAGAGCA